GGATAAAAATGAGAGTGGTCACCTGATTGAGGGTAGTTTTCTTATTGTTCGGGTTGGCTGGGCGGGTATTTTGCTTTCTCAAACTGGGAACAAAATTAATAGACTCATGAAAACTAAAAAACAAAAATTTTAAAGAAAAAAATCCTCAGGAGACTGGCTTTGGAGCCCTGCGTATCTCTGCTCACACTCCAGCGTGAGCCTCCACCGGGAACATCCATGTGTGCCCATGTGTCACAGTAAATCAGCTCAGCTTTCCCACCCTGGCTGGGAAGAGCATGAGAACAAAGGGCCAGAGCAGAGAGGGCAGCTGTGGTGGGGGCGCAGGGGGAGTTGCAATGAAGCCACAAAGAAGGCAAGGAAGTGCAGTGGTCAAGCAGGCAGCACAGCCTGCCCACCTGCCCCGCCAATCTGTCTGCCAGGAAAGGGGCAGAGGTGAGCCCGGGGAGGCAGCCCCTAGGGCAAGGACAAGGCACGTCAGCCCAGAAAGAACGGGCTTCAAAATGATGACCCTTTGAAGGAACCGTGAATTTCTTTAATCAACTGATTTCCTTGGGTGTCTAAAACGCCTCATTTAGCAAGGCTTGTTCTGGGCTGAAACTGAATAGGTGTAATTGACAAATGCTTGAATTTGGGTCCCACTCTAAGGGGGAAAAAAATCTCTCCACTGGCTTCTCCAATGCAATTATGGAAGGGAAAAAAGACGTATTTTAAGGGTTCTTCCAATTCAATTTAGAAGAAGGTCCTGACTTCCCTCCTGACCTCCCCTGCCCCCACCCCAACACACACACACACAGACAAAGGCTGCAATCTGACTTGCTTCCTCCTCAGAGAGGCCTTAGGGCCACAGATGAAGCAGCTGTCAGGCAAGCAGGGTATAATCAGCTTTAACTGGCTCACAGGCTGCAGAGGGCACCAACCCTCTTATCCCTGTAGTACTAGGTCGGGTTGCCAGCCAGCCCTGGGCTAAGGTGGGGTGGTCTCAGCTTCCATTTCAAACGTATCTTTATCCAGGATCTCAATGGGAATCTTACACTGTAGGTCCCAAGAATTTAAATATGCATCTAGAAGGTTCTTGAAAATTCCAGATCATGGCTTCAACTGCATGTCACATGTCACCCCCAACATGATATATAAGGACAGTAAATCAATGAGACAGTAAACAGAAAAGTTAAAACACAACTCAAAATGGGTTTTTCAGGCGAGTCTGAAATGCTACAAGATTGCTAGTTAAGAACAGTATCCCTTCTCTCAACCTAAGTGTCATTTCCTTTCTCTTCACTAGCATCATAAACCAGTGCCCATGTAGCTTAGAAATTAAGATGAAATGTGGAGACCTCTGAGGACACAGGTGGCCTAAGACAGGGGTGCTCACTCTCTCTATGCTGTTTCAGTGTGACAGGACAACTGGCCCATCCCATGGCCCCAGGCTTCTATTGTTAAAAGATATGGACTAGATGAGATTAAAGTCACCATATCTTGCCACAAGAAAAAAAAGAAAAGAAAGAAAGTAAAAAGAAAAGGCATTCACTCAAATCTTACAATGGGAGGTGGGGGTGGTGGGTGGGTGAGGGTGGGGATAGAAAAGCAAGGGGAAAAATCTAAACAGCAGGATACGACAATAAATGGGAAAACAGCAAGAGAAAAAGCACACTAGGTTAATATAGGAAAACTAGTTCTTTATTGAGAGATTGTATATTAGTATTAGTGGATTCTGTGTGTAACAATGTCATCATGCACACGATACAAAAAAAAAGGCTGGGCCCACCATGCTTCGGAAGGGCAACAGAACAAAAGCAGCGTACAATGAGCAGATGGCCCGGGCTACACGACCACAGTACGTTTCAGCAGGGTAACACCTCTAACCGAGCGCTGTACATTGTCAACTGGGGGATGTAAAAAAATACAGATCATGCTTTAGTTTTAGTACAAGAAAAGGTGAAAAAGATACACAACCAAAAGGATATTTGATACAGAAAAAATTACCCACAAAATAAGAACAGGAAGTAATTCAGCACAGCAGAACACGCTACCCCTGTTTAATGGAAAACCATTTTGCTGAGATTTTCTTTTTCTTTTTCTTTATTTTCCTGATTGCCAAGTGGCAATCCAGGGAGGCTACATGCGACTTTATTTTGGAAGAGCCCTCCAAGTGGGGGCTCTATTCTTTCATGATTGCTGCTGTTTTGTTTCAGTTTTCAAGCAGGTCCGGCTGGCCAGGCAGCAGAAGGGTGCTGGCTGTTACAGGCGCAGCTCTGAGGGCCAGGGCAGATGTCCAAAGATGCTCTTGACATTGTACAATTAAACAATTAAGACCCTATGGCCGTGGCTCCCTCACAAGCCAGGGACCTCGGTGCACCAAATTTTCAGAGGCTAGAATAGCAGCAACTGTCATTTCATCAGAGATCTTTCTTTTTAATATTTATATTTAACAATTTTTGCCTCCAACTAAATGCAATCCTCAGTATGCCTGGGTGCTAGGAAGAAGCCAGCTGAGGGCCACCCAGACAACTGGAATATGGGGTGCTGCAGCCTCCAAGCCAAGGCAAAAGGAATCCACTTAACAGGGATTTACAGTGCAATGTATTCGGCTAAACAAGATGAAGATACAAAAATGGTTATTTCTCTACATCTATTCTGAAATGGCCTACATCCTACACTACTACAATGGAAACTAAAAAGAACAGATTTAAGCTGGCAGACTATCTAATAGTTTTACAAGAAGATTGTGGTTTAGGACTTTGTTGAGTTAAGCATTAGTATCCTCTATCGGAAGGTCATGAATTCTTAGCACATCATGTTAAATTTTACCCACAGCCCAACTCACCCCTCAGCCCTTAAATTTCCTGTGGGTGTGTTAGCCATGAAAGTAAACTTTGACTAACAGGCAAATTTGTTTTGTTGGATTGGGGGGTGATATTAAAAATAAAATTTAAAGGCAGCTGAACAATTTGAATTTCAAACATGGAACCAGCATCCTGCAGTGGTATTTAGAGATTGGTGGTATTAATGAGGATGATAATGATTTAATCAGGATAATTATACTTTCAGGCTCAACATCCTTCTTAATCATTTTTGAATTTCTGCCTAGTGTAATGTTCCACACCCGTTTTAAGAGGAAATGCCAACTAATAAGAGATAATTGTGTACAGGGGGAGGGGGCTGGCATTTCAAGGAGATCTCATCCAGCCCCTCCTCTTCCTCACACACCCCTCACCTCACCCCACCCCACCCCACCCCTGCTAGGCTGGCCTGAGATAGGGGATACTGCCGCTTAAATAGCAATGCGTTCCTCAGATGGAGACAGGAAATGGTTAAGAGGGGTGTCACAATACAGCTAAATGCGGAGGCAGAAGGGTCACAGCGCACACAGCAGCGAGTTGACCATTCACTGAGCTACACAATGAAGAAAAAAAAAAGATTTGATAAATGCAGAATGTCATCATTCTATCATCACACAAAAACTGCAGTTCGAACAGGCCTAAGGGGTCAACCTTGCCTTTTGGGTTCTGGAGAGGGGCGCGGGGCTGGGGACAGCTGGGCTGGAAGGAGAGGGCCGGGCTTTCCTCGTCTTGCCCAATCGGGCCCCTGGGGCGCACTAAAGCGCTGGCCCTGCGACCCCACCCCCCACTGACTGGAGCCGGAGCCAGGTCGGCAAAGGGAAGACATCATTCAGTGTGTGCGGGAGGGAGTAGGGAGGGGGCCTCTGCCAGCAGGGATTGAAGCAGACGTGGAGTGGGAGAGAAGAAACATTTCCAAGAAGAGAAATGTGAGTCCAGAGGCAGAATACAAAAAGAAAAAAAAAAAATGAAATGCATCTCAGATTTGCTTTGGGAGGTGGGAATTTTTGATTGAAAGAAAATGGAAGAAATGTGGGGTAAGGGGGAGAAGAGGGGGAAATCAAGCTATTGTTGCAGCAGGATATAAGGGGAAAAGGATGTGGGGAAAGGGGACTGTGCAAATACATCCCATCTATCACAGTTAAAAACAAAGCCCGCGCTGGCCTGCTGCTTGGTCAACCGCTGCTCGGGGCAAAGGCCTGGCATGGGGGCAGCTTCCCATCTCACCCTCACACACAGCGCAACACCCAAGGCCACATGCCCGGCTCCGCCGGGCCCAGGGGTGCGCGGCAGCGCACGTCTGATGTCTAAGGCGCGCACACACATACACACACGCGCGCGCGCATACATACACACACACACACACACACATACATTCCCGAGGATCTTTAACCCACAAATGCAATTGTCATACAAAGACAATTGCGGGGGGCGGGGTGAGCAGGGCCACAGCACAAGGGCAGTAACACAAAAAGGGTTAAAGGGGAAGAAAAGATGGGACGGGAAATCGTGCAAGTGCCCACGAGATAGTGGGGGCTGGGGCATGGGATAAGGCAGGTACCTAGATCCCTGCTAACCAGTTATCGGTATTAATGACCAAAAGTGAAGAAATACAAAACACATATAAAAGAAGGCACATATGCTTCAAAAAAAGCAAATCGCAGAAAGCCAAGCGTGCATATCATTCCCTCTCATTCTCTCATATTCTCATTCTCTCTCTCTCTCTCTCATATTCTCTTTCTCTCTCTCTCTCTCTCTCTCTCTCTCTCTCTCTCTCTCTCTCTCACACACACACACACACACACACACAGATACAGACACTCACAAAGTCATTTATCTCTCGCCTTCTTTCGATCATACAGGGCTAGGTATTAAGGGAAAAGGGCTGTGATTTGGGGAACCACGTCCGCCGCAAAGAATAAAAATAGGGCTGGGCGGGAGGGACCCAAATTCGCCAAACCCTAACTTCACTACAAAAGCTCCCACGAGGGCGGCCACCCCCATACACGGGGGGTCTTCCCAAAAGGGGGTGGGGAGCAGCCACCGCTCGTCCAGAGTCCTCGCGGTTGAGCCCTGAGCCCCGGCCGCCCGCGGCGCCCGCCCCCGCCCGGTGCCTGCGGCGATCCACGCTCGCAAGCAGACCCCGAAAGGAAAAAGCGATACCTCTGTTTCGCACAGAGCCAAACACTGGAAGCACGAGATAGCCGACGTGGACCAGGACCATCCTGGCTCCTCGCGCGGCGGCGGCGGCGGCTGCGCGCGGGCCCTTTGTGGCGCGGCTCC